GAACCGTATATAGCAAATGCCTTTTTAAAAATGACAAGGATTTCTTTGGCTTGTTTCAAACAGCTTTGTTTCTGGAATCATAAGATAGAATTATAAATTAAAAAAAAAGAGATTCATTTTTTGAGCATTAAATTTTGTTCATTTTTCCCCCCCTGTTGATTACTCTTTAAAAGAAAAGGAAATAGCATTTGTTAAATGTATAGTAAATATAAGATTTTGTGTTTGGTTCGTTTGCAATTTTGTATGACACATGGAGCTCATCTTACACATGGTGTTCACCTTATAGATGAATAGACTTATTTTAAAATTTAGATAAATGTTAGAGCTGAATTCCAGAACAGGTCTTTATGATTCAAAAATCACTACCTATCCTCTCCATTTTGATTCCTTGTGCTTCATTAAATATTTTCCAAGCCATTATATGGTTGATGATAAACACCCATACTACATTTTTAGGTTAATAAGTTAAAGAATCTCGGGCCAGCAGGTGGTATGATAGTTAGGTGATCTCACATAGCTGACCATGGTTTGAGTCCTGTACCTAGCTGGATGAAAAACACACCAGGTGCATGTGCTTGACGAGTAGCCAAAATCCCAGGAGAGAAATAAAGGAGAAGGGATTGTGGCATGACCATCCCTCCTGGGGGGTGATTTCTCACCTTCTCTTTCACTATCTCTGGTGAGGGCATGTGCCCTATGATTAAAAATACATAAATAAATAATCCTACTTGGCATTTAATAAAATACTGTATGCACATATTTCTCTCTGCATATATTACAAAATTATAAATTATGGTGTATATGCACTTATACATACATAGATATGGGTATGCTCAATAAAATTTTAGAAATTCCTTGGTTTTTGTCTCAGTTGTTGCTAAAACGTTACAGTAATGTTTACTTACATTTTAGGTCATCCCATTAAATTGTGAGTAAGTTGAAGATCAGGGTTTCTTATGTGGAAATCATTCTATTAACCTAGTACCCAACACAATTCGTATAAAAAATGTAATGCTGTACTCAACTAGAGCTGAAAAATATCACACAAGGTATATAATATTTTTACTTTCAATTAGTGTATGTAACCAAAATGAAAATTCACTTAATTCACTAATGATCATTTTCCTCCCTGTTTGGGACAGCAGTGTATGGTATTTCATCCTTCATTCCTTCCTCTCTTACATTTTATTTTTAAAAGTCAGTTAAATTATTAGGTCTGCTTATTTTTTCACTATTGATGAAGCTATTAAACACTCTACACATGAGAAATAAAGAGGAAATAGGGACATTGTATTATGAAAGATTTATACATACATAATGACTATACAAAAACCAGTGTATTAACACTTAAGATTATTACTTAATCCTAAATGTGGTTAATTTTCCAGCTCCACACTCACCTAATTTTGAAGCAAATCTCAGGCATGATATCATTTTGTCTATAAATATTTTAGTATGCATCTCTAAAAGGTGACTGTAGTATATAATGTATACTGAATGTCTGCATTCTAGGGCAGAAACTGAAAGATTAGAAGGTATCAAAGCATGGAGAGCACTTGTGGATTCTAGAGACAGTATGGGAGAAGGGTGGGCAATGGGGGGATCAAGGGGGAAAAAAACAGAGCATTTAACAGACACAAAAATGGAAAATTATCTGTTGATGATAATGTGCTTGGTAATATCTTTGTCTGGACTAATATGCAGTGTATTCATTCATGCTGAGAAAATTCATTTTATATGCTCTAAAGATGTACAGTGATTAAATGTAAAAAATGAGAAAAAATATTAAAAAACGAAAAGACATAGTAACTGAAATAAAGTATGTCCATTAAATGTATAAAAAAGGGTGACTGTAAATAATAACAATATATTATATTCTTTTTTAAAGAATTATTTTTATTTACTTTTATTTATTATTATTATTATTATTTTAATTTGACCAGAGACAGAGAGAGAGAGGGAAAATGAGAACGCAAGTCACCAGGTTCAGGACACCAACTGTGGTTGGCCATGTGGGAGTCCAGTATCCCAACCAACAGGCCACTTGCTGGCCCCAGTATTTTATAGTCTTAAAAAATCTTGACAAAGAATGCTGTATTCTCACCACAAAAGTCATAACTGTGTGAGGTAATACATGTGTTAATTAGAGAGCTTTATTCACTCCACAATATATAGGAGTATATATTTCAAAGCATTTGTGTGTATAATAAATACACAGATTCTTCTCTAATGAAAAAATACATTTAAAGACATTAATGTAAAAACGGGCAATTAAAACTAAAAAGATATGGCAATAAAGCCTTATTATCACTAAATACATAATCAGTCAAACTAGGTTTCTGGTTGGACAGACCTAGTGACTTCCAAGAATGCAAATACTCTGTGTCTGGGTTTGTCTGATACTGGCTTAGAACTTCTAGATGTGGTTTGCCAAGTATAGTCACTTCTGGCTCTACCTTTGTACATATATATGTATATAAAGCAATTTAAAGAAGTGAAAAGTTTTAGAGATCCCTTCTGAAGGGATCTCTAAAAGTTCAGGAAAATTGAATGAACGCATGAGTTAATTTGGGTGCAAAAAATTTTAAAATCCGCAGATGGGTTTTTCATAATATGAATTTTTCATGAACTTTTTGAAGATCTTCCTATCTGAAAGCAATACAGATTGTTATAAAACATTTCATTGGTGTTAGGTTCATGCTTCCTAAACACATGAAAAATATTAATCAATGTAGGGTAAGTAAAACAGAAAATATATTATTTTTGGTATATATCAAAAGAATAAAGAGTATATTGCTAGTAAATTTATTGTTCAAAACAATAATCCACCTTTCATATTCTGCAAAATCTGTATACAGAAGAGAGTGAATTTAGGTCCCCCCACACCCCAAGGTTTCTGCTATGGAGCAAGTTGGTTCCTGGGAGAAAAATAGAGAGAGACAGTGAGAGGAAAAGTGAGAAATCACTCCCCAGGGAAGATGGCCATGCTGCAGTCCCTTCTCTTCCACTGTCCTTGGATTCTGGGCATGCACTCACAGGTGCCCAGTGTGATTTTCAAGCTGTCAGGTCAGGGACCCACTGCTGTAGGCCATGTGAGAGTTCAGCACCTTAACGACTACAGCACTTGCTGGCCCCAAAGTGAATTTAGTTTTAAGACTAGTATATTTATAACAAAAAATAGCATTTATTTCTGTTACTCTTATATTTTAAAACTTTTTTCTAGTTGAAGTAAAACAAACAAACAAAAATAATGAGTTGCAAAAGCTGAGTAATAAGATTAAGGAAATAATTCATTTAATATGGCAGAAAATATTAATAATATAGTTATAAAACAAATATATTGATATAGGATCCTAATGATAAGGGAAAAGTGGTTTAAAGCTTCCTTATTGTATGTCCTGAAAAATAATACTGGCATCGATGGAAAGTTATCTTGCTTTATGAGCTGGAGAAAACTGAAATAATTTTTCAGCAAGTAATTACTTCTACAAGAAGAGCCTACGGATTTTAAGATTCACCCCTGAAGTTTTCATCAGTACTTAAAATACAGTCTGAATAGCAAAAATAACACTATGAAAGATTGAATTATATGTCTCTAGCAAAAGAAAAATGACCTAATTTTAAAGAAAAACAACATTAAACTCCTTATCAATTCATTCTCTATGAAAATAAAAAGAGGAAAACTGCTGAAAGCAAAACCTACTTCACAGCCAGCTATTTCAGGTCTAAAATTTCAAGGAGCAATAGCAATTACACTAACAAAATATCTGCTTTTTTCCTTTGTTCTATCATTACTTAAAAAGGCACATTGCCATATAACCATAAATGAATATATATACTCATTAATAATTTTTGATGTATAATGTCCTCAAAACAAAGAATGTACTTCATTGAGAATACAGGAAATAATTATCTTTAAACATTTTGTAAATGATGAAAAAATTTATATTCCATTTTGTTTCTTTAAGCAATCAAGTATGTATTTGTAATATGAAAATTCCATTATCTTTCAAGGGAATGAAAAACAAAGAATGAGGAACTACCAGATTATGGGAGTCATGGCAATTAAATGCAATATGAGATCCTGGATTGGATACTGGATCAGAAAAAAGAAATATGTATCAGTGAGGAAACCCAAAACTTCATAAAGCTTATGGATGTTAAAGTATATTAACCCTGGGTTTAATCATTTTATTGTGGTTAGGCAGATGTTAATAATACGAAAGCTTAGCAAAAAATGGGCTAAAAATTTGTACTATTTTCTTGAAGGTCGAAATTATTTCAAAATAAAAAATCTAAAAATGTCCTCATTATCTTTGGTCTAAATTGACAATGTTCAAATTGAGTAGGTATAGAGACCAGCCATCAGCGTAATGGCTATGTCACTTAACTAGTAGTCGACTGCAGTTTGAGTCCCGGACCTGGTGGCTTAAACTCACGCCAGGCGCATGTGCATGCAAGCCCAGGATCCCAAGAAGAGAATGGAGAAGGGATTGTTGTACGGCCATCCCCCCTGGGGGGGGGGGGGGGTTCTCCTTTTCTATCTCTCTTTCTCTCTCTCTCTGTCTTGATGGCAAGCACGTGTGTCCTATAAAAAAAAAAAAAAGTGTAGGTATAGGGGAATTTATTCCATAGAGGAATCCAAGGTATTTTTTTACTTCCAGTATAAGGAAGTCTTAAACTCCTAAAGCCAGAAACCATATTACTGATAGAATAATAATTGTGGAGCATTGTAATACTGTCCACATTTAAAAAATGCAGTTAATTAGAAGAATGACCTAAATATGTTCCAGGTAGTAACTCCTCATATTAATGATGATGTCATTAATGTTTTTCATTCAATGTATAACCTGTTTAATTTTTCACATTTTCCAAAACATTATGCTTGATACAAAAAGCAGTGTTATCTAAAACTTCATGAATCATCTAAACTAAAATCCAAATTCATGTGCCAATATGACTGTAGAATGAAAATGACTTGGTTATTTCATTTGTTTTACCTGAAACTGTGTGATCCTTAGAGTCTCTCGTTATTTTTATCCTTGAATGAGGAAAGATGTAGTGCACAGTCTTCCCATTCATCTGTATAACCTAAGACATACGTATAAGGTGAAAAATCCATGCTAAAGACTTTTTTAAATATTTCATTCTTTTAGAATTATAAGTTGCCAACATTAACATAACATATTTCTTTAAAATAATATGTGGGGAAATGACACAAATATACAAAAATACTATTCAGAATATGCACTATAATAAAAACGAAATTACATCTTTAAGCGGAAAGTTGTTTCTTTTTTGAAGTCAAGCATTAAAGACATTTTAAAGTGCAATATGCAGAATTAGACTTGTTTATTTAAAAGCACATTGATTGGAGGACCGCAGCAGTTAACGTAATGGCTATGTTGCTGAACTCCCATGTAGCTGACCGTGGTTTGAGTCCCGGACCTGGTGGCTTAAACTCACGCTGGGCACCTGTGCATGCATGCCCAAGATCCCGAGAGGAGAATAGAGGAAAAGGGGATGGTCACATCTCCTCGGGAGGGTGTGATTTCTCATTTTCTATCTCTCTGTCTCTCTCTGTCTCTCTGGCAAGCACATGCGCCGTATAGCAAAAAACAAAAACAAAAACAAAAAACCTCTTTAAAACCACATTGATTAGGCCAATGAAAATGTATTAGAAGACTTAAATGATGACAATTTAAGCATCTTATAAAATATGATGATGATTTATTATCAATAAACTTGATTTCTAAGTTTATTATAGTCTTTGCAGTCATAACCAATTGCTCCTGCAAACTGAGTCGCTGTATTTGAAAAATTGCCTGCTGTTGATTTTGCTTTCGACAGCCTAGAAATGGAAAGACATTTAAAATTTTCAGCAATTAAATGATGCTAAGGGTGAGAAGGCCCACCCCCACTCCACATTCCTATCACCATAATTAGAATTGCTTTATATTTATGTTGCTTGATTTCATGGTGATATTGTACTTCCCCTGAGCACTGGACATTACATTATATACTAGACACTGAGACTGATTCTGTATAAATAAGCGTTTGCTCATTCTAATTCTTTCTGAAGCCTTCTTTGAATTCAAAGGTTGTATTACTGATATGCTATTTCTCATTTACTGTAGACATTCCTTAGGGCAGAAGAAGTAACACTTAAAGCTACTGTTCCAAGTCTGTGATTTCCATTTTCATTATTGAGACTTGAACATGAGAATACTATATACTGCATTATCTCTGTTTCCACCTGGTGAAATGAGGTTTCTGAAACAAAAGCAAATTAGCAAATGCAAATTTGTTCTTCATATTTATGGAACTTTGCTTTCAAAAGAGATTTATGAAACAATGAAAGATTGAAATAGCAAAATATGTATTCATATCTATATTAACAGGATTTTATTGGTACGGAATTTTGGACCTATTGCCTTAGGAACATTTTTTACTTAAATTACAAATGAAATAAAGTTTAATAGAAATAGACATTCCATACTACCTATTTTAGGATATGTTTAAGAATTGCATGGAATACTAATCCGAAATATTAAATAGAATTTAGAATCTAAGAGATGTGCATTTTAAGAAGAAAGATTCCTTGAGAAACTTGTGTGGCCTCAATGTGCCCTAGTAAATCCATCTGCAAAATTATTAGAATTCTGAACATTAAAAGTAAAATATGTACTGGAAAAAATGCAAGTTAAAATTACAGCCTTTAGCTATCCTCTTTCAGAAAGAATAAACTTAATCAGGCCTCAGATGAACCTAAAACAGTTACCAAACAACAGCAGAATCTTGCTAATTCCAGGAATAATAATACGAATTTTAATAATAAATTGTTTGTAGGAATATAAAAATATAATGTTTAGAGTCATCAGTCAATCCTGATAATTCATACTAATACTGACTAATATTATAAATCACTGAAAACTTTATTCACATTTTGTTTTTTTAGAGAGAGGGTTTTTTTGCTACAGGGCACATGTGCTCGGCAGAGAAACAGAGAGAGAGAAAGTGAAAAATCACCCTCCGGGGGGTTGGCCGTGCCATAGTTCCTTCTCCTCCACTCTCCTCTCAGGATCTTGGGCAGGCACACATGTGTGTTCGTCATGAGTTTTAAGCCACCGGGTCTAGGACTCAAACTGCAGTTGACTGCACAGGAGTCCAGTGATGTAACCATTATGCCATCTGCTGATCCTGAAAACTTATTCACATTTTTAACAAAATAGTTTACATTTTCTTTCTATTTCCTCTTCTCTCTCTCTCTCTCTCTGTGTCTCCCTCTTAATCTCTTCCCTTTCTCTTTCTTACATTCTCTCCTTTGGCCTCCTTCTCCCTTCAATTTTCTTTTCTCCTTCCACTTTCCTTCTTTTTCTCATACATTCTCTCCTTTGGCCTCCTTCTCTCTTCAATCATCTTTTCTCCTTCCACTTTCCTTCTTTTTCTCATCCTTCCCTCTCCTAACGTGCATTTAAAGATCTTTACTTACTTACTAAAAAGTAAACTGTGTGCATTGAATATTCAACAACCATTAGAACTCAATTTGTTTTGATAATTCATTAAAATTGGTGGATAATATTTCATTTTATTTCAAATTATCTTATCATTTCATGTATTATTTAATAATAATTTTGAAAATAATTTTTCCTATCTGGTAAAAAATAAATTAAGGAAATGTAACTTCTGTCTTCTGGTATTCTTTCCAATTTCCAGACTCAGGAGAAGTTGATATATTCTCATAAAAGATCTAGTGCACAGTTTAGGAAAGTATTCCAGTTTCCTACATTTTTCATCAGATTTATATCAGCAGCTAGTATCACTTTTTAGTTGATGTTTATGATGATGTCAGGGGAAAAGATGTTGAATATCTTCATTCATGAATGTCTTAGAGCATTTAATACAAGCTCCTGTAGTTTCACAGACTGTACAATTAGTTTCATAAGCCCACTTTATAAATAAAAACAATAAACTACCAACATTATAATCTGTGTGACCATGAGTCTATAGAAAGTAGGGGTATTGAAATTAACCTGAAAATTTTAAAAAAAAGAAAAAAGAATTTAGTAGTATCTGTCCCCCATATATAAAGCATATGGGGCTCAGTTTTTCCTAAACATTGCAGGTGGATGTTGAGAGTCTTCTAGCAGACTGGTTTGCAGAGTAGACATGGTTTCTACCAAACAGGCCAGGAACAAAGTCAGAGGGAAAAGTGATGTCAAGTTGTGCTCTGTACTCCTTCCCAAGGAGTGGGTCTCTGTCATCTTTGGTTTTGGGTGGTTCTGGGTTGACAGAACTATGGCTTGTATGACTCTCAGAGAAAGAATTATCCTTTTAACCCACCTAAAAATATTTCAGAATGAATAATTTTTATAATTTCACCCTTTTTGTTTGTGCAACAATATTTGTATTAATATATATTTAATGTATACATAAATTCATCTATTCTCTCACTTCAATGTCATGCATGCTTCATGCAGTGGTTACAGTGCTCTCCTGGGTTCCTAGCACTGTGGTAGGCCATGGTATACACATGTAAACATATCACAGTGGATGGAATACAGAACAGCTGCTCTCTGGGAGTTCATAGACCAAGACATAGCATGTAGGGTACTGCAAGAGCACAAAGGAAGAACACTTATTCCTATTGGTGGGGAGGTGGTGGTGAAGTGTTAGAGAACTCTTCTTACAATATGACGTGTGCATATGAAGAACTAAGTGATAAGTAGGGTTAGCCAGGAGAAGAATGGAGGAAGTATTCAGGGACAGAAAACAGCATACTCAAATGTCCAGAGTAATGAGAAAGAGTGGGTGCTTCAGAGAACTTGAGTTCACCTCAAAGCAGCAGCTGCATGGCAACTGGAGAGGGTGTGGACATTCATGCAGTGGAAGCATTCTGTAATAGTCAAGAAGTGTTGCTCTTTACTCAGTGAAAGGCAATAGTCCTATTTACAGACTGATTGATTGATAAAAATAAAAACAAATAAATGAGGTTAGGCAAGCTTTTCAATTCATGAAGCAGAGTTAAGTTTCCACTGAATAATGCAGAGGTTAAACATAAATATATTTATTTGTTTTATAGTTAATATGATTGTGAGTCTAGTTTTAAATTTCAGAAATGCTCTTCTACCCCTCCAATAAATGAACATAAAAAATTTTAAAAACAGATAAATTAGTGTTTGCATTAGTCAATTTGGTTTTATTACTTTTGCCCAACAGAGCATTTTATAAGCATAAATTCTTGTTATGCGTAACTTTTCAAATAAAAGCATCTGAGTTTATTGGTACCAAGAGCCTAATATTACCTTTTTATAATTAGAGATGTAAAGAAGTGCATTAAATGAAAATGCCATTTTGTTATTTTCCTGATCAAGATATAGCTATGATTTTAAAGAGGAAGGCAGTGTCTGATGATACATATTAATGCAGATAGTATACATTTTGAATTTTATATAATTAAACTTTTATTATACTGACCCAAAAGGATCCTTTTGTTTTCTATTTTATCAAGTATACAAATAAACTTATTAAGTCATTCTCAAATATACACTCTTTGTTTTTGTTGTTACACTGCTCAATAATTACATATTGATTGAAACATGATATACAATATCTTCAGTAGATGAACACTGCAAATATGCATATGTTAGTAATACAAAATTCAGAAAGAAAGCAGTAAAGATATCTATATTTAATTCTTATACAATATAATTTTATACAATTTTTTTGGATCAATGGAGATTACTTTAAATATATCCTCAAAGAATATTTGTTGGATAACATTGTTGGAGAAGACTATTCTGAATATTCATGTTGGGTAATTAATGTATAAAAAATTTTAAAACTTTTTCAGTTTATATAGTTCATCTATTATGATTTTTGTTAAAGTATGTTTTTTATATAAATGACTAAGTTTCAAATCTATTTGTTCCTTTTTTTTTTTAAGAGATTCTTTGCTATAGGGCATGTGCACTCACCAGAAAGACAAAGAGAGTCAGAGATACAGAAAGTGAGAAACCACCCACCCCTCACCCCCCCAGGGAGGAAGGCCATGCCGCAGTCCCTTCTCCTCCAGGGATCTTGGGCATGCACGCACATGAACCTGGTGTGAATTTAAGCCACTGGGTCTGGGCCTTGAACTGCGGTTGACTACATGGTAGTTCCGTGACATAGCCATTACACCAACTGCTGGTTCCTTAAATCTATTTGATAAGAGTTGAACTGGATCAGAACCAGCAGTTGGGGTAATGGTTATGTTGCTGGACCCCCATGTATTCGACCATGGTTCGAGTCCTGGACCCGGTGGCTTAAACTCACGCCAGGTATATGTGCGTGTGTGCCCAAGATCCAGAGAAGAGAATGGAGAAGGGATTGCAGCGTGGCCATCCCCCATGGGGGGGTGATTTCTCGCTTTCTGTCTCTCTGTTTCTGGTGAGCACATACACCCTATAGCAAAAACCTCTTAAAAAAAAGTTGAACTGCATTTAACTAGTTCTTGGGAAAACTGAATTAAAATATGAGTTTATTTCATTGTAAAAAATTGAAATCCATGCATACTTTTTACATAATGTGCTTTTACATAAAATTTTTGAAGATCTTCTGTACAATTTTAAAAATAATAAGGTTAGAGAAGTAGATCAAACCTATATAACTGATAGACTAAAATGAAATATAAATTAAAGTATATTGACATGTTTATAAAAGTAAATGCAACATTATGCCAAAAATGTATGAGAGATATTGAAAGTTAAAGAGAGGATATTTATAATAGGTAAAAGAGAGGATATTTACAATGGGTAGTGAAGAAATTTGAAGATTTCTAGAAAATAAAATAATATATAGACAAATTATACAGAACAAAATTCTGAGGAAAAGACATTCTATTTACTAGCTAAAACTTTGTCCTTGAAAAACCTTGCTTAGGAAGAAATCAAATCTGATAGTATAGGATAATGTATTTTAAACAGTATTTATACAAGCAAAACCCTTTTTTATATGTTAATATGAAAAACACCAAAAGAAATTGTAGTAAGTTTGTATAGGTCTTCTTAGTTGTTCAAAATATGGTTGTCTTCCGTATCAATGAACTGCTAAATATGTTAGTATGTCTGTCTGGCTTACCAGAGAAATCTCTTTCAATTTATTCAACGTTAATCTCTTAGGTATCTTTGCAAATCCAGCCCAAATGTAATCTCATTTGCTCCAACATGAGTAAGACTATGATTTTTTGTGTCATATTTATCTAAATTTAATACTTATCCCTGACAGTTATTTCAAAATATATTAATCAATAATACCTGTTTAATCTGCGTTGTTTCATAGATACAATTCAAAAATGAATGTTAAACAATACTTCCATGAAATTCTAAGCTTTTTTCTCCCTCAAGTGAAACGTTCTTTCACGCCCAGTTGACTTGGCTGGGCTCTGTATGCTGTTACATGCTATTTCTTAGCACATGAACATACTGCTATTGGAAAGCACTGAAATTTATTCAAATATATTTCACTAAATAATCTGTAAACTCCTCAAGAGTTCCAGATATTGTCTCTGTATTGCAGTGCTGGATATGTTATACAAACTTATTAAAAATCTGTTGGAGGAATGAATCAATTAATTTACTTGGTAAAAGTGTCACTACTATGCTTCCATGTAAATAAATCATAGCTGATGAAGTAGGGTACTTACTCCTTAAGCACCGAAAAATAACATCATTTGTAAACTTTTCACAAGCATCTCATTCATTTCAAGATAATTGAGACCATTATAGGGTATAATGGTAATTAAGGGTTTTTTTTTTGTTTTGTTTTTGTTTTTTGGTGTGGAGGATGGCAGGGATAAATCTAAAAGCAATTGCTAAATATAGCACTTACTTGCTCTTGATGTTGACTAAGTGGTCTGGAGTGGACCAATCTTTCTGGCAGTTTTCGGTCCAAACCATGTCCATTTTCCAAACGAGACTCTCTAGGTTTATCAAACCAATCTGTTTCCTCACGACGCAGGTGATAGGCTTTGAAGACCAAGGAAACATCATACATTGCAACTGCAACTAACATACATGATAGAAGGCAGCAGAAAGTCTGGACTACTAGCATGCACTAGGCTGGTTAACCATACATGCACTTCACACAAGACTCCCAGTGAGACCAGCAAAATCATTTTCATTAATAAGAATACAATTATGTTAATACTTCTGTACCATAGAATAACCTAAGAAAAATGACACACACAAATGTTGCCACCTCAGAACAAAATAGAACAACAAATCAGATTTTAAACATGGAAAACAAAACAAAACACTGAAATTCAGAGTGAAAATAAGTAAGTGAACAAGTGAATATTCCTCAAAAGAGTTATTTAACTTAATCTCCATCAATCAGTTCTTAGCTCCTCACTTCTCCCTACAATTCACACAGCTTCCCCCCCCACACACACACACAAAGAAAATGTATTCTTTTAGAAGTTTCTGTTGCTTTCCCACTGTTACATCAATCTAGTATCAATATGTGCCTTGAATGTTGAAAGGGAATTCTTTTTGAAAATTTATTTCTTGGCCATCCATGAAGGAACACACTTACTTCTAAGGGGATCCCAAGAGTTGTAGCTTGAGTATATGTGCCATGAACACTTGGTAACCTAATCCTAAAAATATATCTGTTAGAGATTTTTAATAAAAATAAAATAGTATTTTCTGGTAGAGAGCACTGATTTAGGAATCAGGTTAAAGAGCTCACTGACTTTTTAAGCACATTGTGACAAAATTTGACATCATAAAATAGTTTTGTAAATTCAGCTATTTTTAAAGTACACAACTATTTAAAATTTTCATCTCATTCATTAGCATTTTGGGATCTTTTTTTTTTTTTTTTTTTGAAAGAGGTTTTTGCTATAGGGCTCATGCGTTCGCCAGGAAGAGGGACAGAGAGACAGAAAGTGAGAAATCCCCAGGGATGATGGCCATGCCACAATCCCTTCTCTTCCATTCTCCTCTTGGGATCTTGGGCATGCATGCAGATGCACCCAGCATGAGTTCAAGCCACCAGGACCAGGACTCGAATCATGGTTGACTACATGGGAGTCCAGCGACACAGCCATTACACCAACTGCTGGTCCCACGTTTTTGGGTCTTTTAAAGGGGATTTTCAAAGAGTTTTTATAAAATGCATATTCTGAAAAAACTATACATAGATTTCATTTATTTTACATCAAAATAAACTTGTAGTTTAATTCCATTTTTACACAAACTTTTTATTTTAAAGTCCTCTTATAAATTCTATTTTACCTAATTTATAGAATTCCACTTATTGGAAATTTTCTTATTCTTGTAAATAATCCCTAATTAATTATCTGAGGAAATATTTTTTCCTTGAAAAGGAAGATGAAGTAACCCTTCTCAAGGGCTCATCCTGAAAGATTTATTGATGATTCTGTCAACTTATGCTCTCTTGAAACTCCAGCTTCTTCAATGCCATATTGCTGAATTCTCCTCTTTATCTCATGACTATTGTCTTTTTCTGTCTATATCCCTGTCTCCCTGACTATCTGCTCTTTCAAAACTTGGTCTCTAAACTTTTTTCCCTGAGCCATTTCTTTGCTGGCAGTGCTGGCAAACCCACAGTCTGTGCATTACTAGGCACCTCTACATCTCCTGTGATCCTGATTAACACTGCTAATTAACCACATCACTTCCCTGATTACACACAGAATAAGGGCTAATGAGTCATGGTTTAGTCAGTCTTACATTTGAGGAAGTTCAACAGTACATACCTGGTTTGTGGTTGCATATATACTTGACTGATCTTACCTATTAGACTCTAAACTGTTTGAAGACAAGGCTTACATTTTCTTTATCTTCCTCCCTCAACACTAAAAACAATGCCTTGTACATTGCATAACATGGCAAAAATTCAATAACTATTTGTGAAATGAATGAAGCAGAAAATAATTATTCATTGAATAGAGAAAGAAGTATCTTAATTAAGATAACACACATTTGAAAATAAATATTATTTCCCTTAAACATCATTAAATACACATTTTTCATGATCTATTCAATAATTATATAGCATATGTTTTCTAAGTTAAACAACTCTAACATTCCAAGAGTTCATAAATGTCAGGATTTATGAGACTAGAAAAACTACTTTCTATTTTTTCTCTTAGTAGTCAATAAATTCATGATTAAAAAGAAAGAAGGTAGGCCATTTCTTACTATAAGAAAAAGAATATGTTTATGTCATGTAAAAGCAAAAGGTATATAACATTTTATTACATACATCTTATAAGGATAAGTAGTACAATTCACACACAAAATATTACATATATAATTAAATTTGCTACAATTGTCTTTGTATAATTCCATTTCAATATGGTCTTTATAAATAATTTTGTTTCCTTCATTTAAAATACATTTTAGTTTAAATTTATTTAATTTTATTTAAACTATTTACTTTTTTGATATTGTTTTTACACACCTCATAATTTTATAGACTGCATGTTGTAGCATTATCTACTTTATCCAAACAATTATTTCTTAGTCACTGATGTTTATGAGTGTACACTATCCAGACATAAGTGAGAACTAAAAGATTCAGTTATCTTTATATGATTATATATAAACAAATGCCACACAGATATCAGATATCTAGAAAATCTATATATCTGGCACCATGTTAATACAACATCTGTGATGAGTAAATGAATTTGTCACATCTTTTCAGGATATATGGTCATCATGTATGCACAGTCTACAGGTATTTAGTGATGTCACAGACCTCTACAGGTTTCATTGTGTTATACAAGTATGATTACGGAACTCCTTTCTTACTCCTCTGCAGGTCATTTTAATTTTATAAAATGTGTGTAAAATATGGACCATAAGAAAAGTAAGAAAAATATTAAAGACTACTCAATTTACTATCACAATTTATGCCTAAGTATATAGATGCATTCAAATTGCCGAAATAAAAAGCACACAAATAAGAGTGTTTTATTTAATTGACTAATTATCAATAAAAATGGTCAATTCAATAGTCTATAGAGAAAATACCAAATTGGAAAGTGAATTTACAAGATCAGTTTGTCTTCCTTCAGATCAAGTGACTACTTTAGTTCTGTAAAAATCTAGTTTGAATTTTAAAAACCGTATTATGTCTGGACATGGAAATAGAAAAAAAATCCTTTTCATAAAAACATATATTTTCCGGCAAGTCCTTAATGTTAGACTTGAAAGAGATGTTCATGTCTGCTTAATTCTTTGGTGTTTCCAAGACATGAAGTCCTAATGCTTTTATTTTATTAGAAATATTTCTTCCCTACGACTCCAATCTACATTCAAATGTAAATCACAGATGAGGTGGAAAAATAAATAAATAAATAAGAGTCATTTATCCTCTTGGTTTGGACAAGCCTATTCACACCTTTATGTTATTTGACCCTTATCTTTATTATTAGACTCGGACCACATAATTTTCAAAAATCCACTTAGTTTGATATGATTAAACACATTTTTTAAAAATGAAGATAAACTCCTTTAAACTACTGTTTAGTTTCATGTGTACTTCCCTTAAAGCACTTGTTCAATATGAAGAAAAGTAGCAAAATAATTTAGAGCAAAAAGATGAGAAGACACAAAAAGCAAAGCCAAAGAAAAAGCAAAACGAGCTTTCTAGGAAGACTTGAATAACAAATAGTGAAAATCACAAAAGTAGTTATGATTTTTAAGTTTAATTCTAAAGACTGTTTCATACATACTAAAATTAATGCAAAATGTACAAATTTGTCAATAAGATTCACAATGAGAGTGAAAGAAAATGGAAATATTTTGTTTAAGGAGAATTATAAAATTCTACATTATACTAACATCAAAGACTTATCCAAAAATTCTCAAAGAGAACATCTTCTAAACTATTGAACACTGATCTCATAAAAATTACAGAAGTAATTCTCCACTACAATGTTTATCAAATAGTACTTACAAGCTCTAAACCTTAATAGTTTCACAAACTGAAAGAAATGGATAAAGAACTTTTAAAATACATTTTTAAAAATCAAAGAAACATTCAACAAAAAAACCTTTCCAACTATGAATTTAAGGATGACCACATTTTATTGACAGAATTATTTGAAAAGGGTTTTAGAGGAGCAAACAGCAAACAAACCAAGAAAATAATCATGAAACAGAACATAAAAGAATAAACTAAAAACAAGTAAAGAAAAGCATGCTATGAAACCTATACACAGGATAAAATTTCCACTTACAAGAAATAAAATTTAAGTAAACATGCAAAAGACACACCAAGAAATATAGAGTACATCCTTGGAGAAGAAAACTTAAACATGCAAAAACATAAGAGTTTGAGTTTTGAGAGTAACAGGGTAGGTGGAGGCCCAATTTACCTTCACTGTCTGACATGGCGTGTTGGAAGTCATCCATGATGAATGCTATGTCACGGTCGTAGCCTCTAGTCCGTGATTCTTCTCTCATATGTTGCTGAACTTCAGGCAATGAGTGACTTGATCCAAACTGATCCCTGGTGTCAGCAGATATTGGCGGCAGGGTTCCAGCTGCAGCTCTAGCCATTCCCATTGGCTGGCCAACAGGACTGAGTGGACTTTCTTCTTCAGAATTCTGAGCCACAATTGGTATTCTTCCTCTACTCTGGCTTATTGGCAAACTTGTAGGCTTAGTTCTGGCAGAGGATGATGCATGACCAAAGGAAACATCTAGAGCTTCAGCTTCTTGAGCTTTCAATCTTAGAGAAGAGCTGGAAGAATCCCTTTTAATTGATAAATCAAGCCCATAGACAGAGGAAGGTCTGGAGGAAGGCCTGGACCTGCTGCCACTACTGTATGGCTTATCTGCTTCATCCTGTAGAGCGGACCGTAAAGTATTTCCTAATGTGCCCAGTCCTGTGCTAAGAGATGATCCCATAAATTTTTGTTGGTCTGTAATATTTTTTCTGAGGCCAAAAGTAATATCATCTTGAAGAAGCCTTGCCCTAGAAGATATGCCACCAATAGATGAAGTGCTTGAAGTCATGTAGCTTGAATAATCAGGTTCAAGATCTCTACTTTCTTGAATAGGTGAAAATTTTGACATCTTAGGGTCAATTAGTGATTTCTTATGTTTTGACTGCTTTTGATAAAGTATGGCTGCTGGTAATTGTTTTGCTGCTTGTTTTTCAAGTGTAAGTCTACTAATGCTATATTTTTCAGATTTTGGAAAATGTCTATAACTAGTATCAGCATGGTAATAGTGTGAAAGACCAGAAAGGTGATCTAAACTCTCCGTCCCTCTACGAAATTCCTGCTTAATCTGATGTTTCAACAGTTTTAACTCATAAGGATCCTCCATTGGGTCTTCCTCTGCTTTCACGTAACTGTGCAATCTGGAGGAAGTCTGTAAAGGTGCTAGGAAATCTGTCACTTCTTGAGATCTACGGGTCTCAGTTGTTCGAAGGAGACGGTCCGTTTTTGACAGATCTTTTTCATGAAGGCTGAAGGCGGTGCTTAATGCTGCTGTGCCTTTGGTAATCTCTCCAATATCATCAATTAGGACATAATTTCGTGAAGTATGTTGGTCAATGTCTGCATAGAAAGAATCTGCAGATATGCTTGATATTGGACTACTTGCCATGCTACTTCTTTCCTCCAAGCCTATTCTCAAGTCTAAACTATTGTACTTACTACCAAGATGAGAAACAGCGTATGTGCTGTCAGTAGAGACAGGTGCTATCATCAGGGGTTGGTTGCGAATTACTTCATAGTTTGAAGTTATCTTGGGCTCCAGGTACAATGTAGTTTGCCGCGGCTTCTGTTGGATCACCATCATCTGTGATGGCAACTGATATGAAGGTTGTGGGGCTGGTGTAGGTTGAGCTTGAGGGGTGAAAGACATTGTGGCTACAGCTTGGAATGTTGGCTGAGTCTGGTAAGGTGACACTTGCTGATGGTACAAAGTTTGTTGCTGAAAATGGGATTGTTGGGTGTATGGTGTGGGTGCTTGGGTAGGAAGGGCAGGGGAAGAGTACTGATACTGTGTGTAAGGACTTGTAGGAGGAACTAATTGAGATTCTGTTTGAGTTTGGGGTGGTATAAACTGACTGAATTCAGTTTGGGGAGCAGTTCTGGGTCGTTCAATGCCATGCTGACTTTCTATTCGGGTTGGTCTGGTGCTGCTCACTTCGCTGTCAGACATGTAATCACGATCCTCAGCAACTCCCTGCAGGTAGGCTCGCTCTCTCTTTTCTCTCTCCTTTAATAATGCCTCTTTTCTCCTGTTAATTCCCATTTCCAGATAGCGCAGCTTGGCATCAATCTCCTTTTCTTCTTCATCAAGTTCTGCTTGTTTCTTTCTAAGTTTTGCAGATTCCCTTTCCACTAGGTCAAGCTCCCTGTCTATGTCCTGGAGAATCTTAGCTCGTGCCATTGTGTTAGTTCTGCAGATTCTTCTCCGGGAAACTGTGCCCATTGTGCTGTAGGTTGACTGAGTTCCTGGAGAAGTCTCCTCAGGAGGTGGATTTGGCAGAGTTCTTTTGACTTTTTTCTGAGTGCCAGATGGTGTCATGGTTTGAGAACCTTTTGTCTGCAATCGAGTAAACAAAACATAATATTTTATAATCAAGGAAAAAAATAAAGACCCAAATTAAACCATACATTTAGATAAAAATGATTTCACATATGCTTTAGTTATCACAGAATACTACAATAAAAATTTTATACATAATTTCAAGTATTAGTCACGAGTACAGCTAACTGAAAAATAATTTTTGCAATCTTGGTAAATTGGTTATTTATTATTATAAATTATGCAACATTAAAGCTGAGTTTTGACATTAAGCACTGAAATCATGGCTTATATAGGTTGACATTTTAGTTACATCTTTAGAACTCTAAAAGCTCATTTTTAATTTAAATTAATATACATAGTATGATTCATTGAATCTATTCACAGAGTATTTGTGTTAATTATTTAAAATTTAAGTTACAGTTGTTGAAGATGTTTGTTTATAATATTAAGTTTTATAACAACTATCTTTCCATTTCTATTTTAAATCCCAGGAGTGGCTGTCATTCTACTCCAATCTTGCAATATTTAAAAATGAAATCCTCAAATACTCTAATGTCTCTTTTTCAAAGAAATAAGAATAATCTGAACTGATTTCCTACTTGATCTCTTAATATTTTCATGACTATGTAAGTTTTATATTTTCTTTAAATTTAATACTCTTCAGTAATTTTAGCTTTGTTTTAATTGTTAAGCAAATTCTATCAATGAACCCAAAAGAACTAACTGCAAAAACAATCCATTGTAGCCTTTTTGTTAATTAGATAAGGTATACAGTTGGTGAGTTTTCAGATAGTTTATTTTACTTATTTATTTATTTATTTTAAGAATTACATTGTGACTAAATCCTCTTGGGAGGTGATTTCTTTCTCTTCTTCATGCATGCATGCTCTATATCATGACTAAAATAAACTTAAAAGTGAAGGAGGGGACTAGCCTCATAGCTCAGAGGTTAAGTGGAGCATAGGGAAGGGAGATCCCACATATCCAGCCACAGTTCAAATCTCAATCCCAGAGGCTTCAGACACACACAAGACCTGTGTGTGCATATCCAAGATTGTAACTAAATAGAAAAATGGAAGAAAGAAGATTGAAGTGTGATCATAACCCATGGGGGGGGGACACTCTGTCTCTCTCTCTCCCCCTTTCACCCCTAAGTAAATAAATAGATGTTGGCAAAGAAGTGGAGAAACTATAACGCTATGCACTGTTTCTGGGAATGTAGACTAGCACATATTCTATGTAAAACAGTATGGTTGTTCCTTAAAAAATTAAAAATAGAATTACCAAGTGATCTAGAAATTCCATTTCCATGTACATATTCAAAAGAACTGAAATCAGGATTACCAAAGTTCACTGCAGTATTTTTTTTGAATAAACAAAAATTTTATTTTGCTCATTCAAAATCTATTGACAAAATAAAATTCAGTTGCAATTTCTCATGTACCAAAAATAAAAGTGATATTTATAACAATGGCATATAAATTAATGAAAACTACACTTTTGTAAAAGATTGTAAACATTTTGCACACTCATCGTACCTTTCTTTTTGACAAAATGCTCTTTTGATGACAGATCAGTTGACAAAAACATTATTGTGAACTATTTCAAGTAGTACATAAGAAATGTTTAATTTTTTTCCTTGTAAACCACAGTTTATTATTTATAATCTTTTTTTCTTTTTTCATCTCACACCCACCATACACCACCCACTCTACCAACATTCTTACTGTCTCCAGCATCAACACTCATTCTTTCCACTATCACATATTCAGGTCTCTCAACTTCTGCCGTAAAGTGTAGACACTCAATACAAATTGAGTGGGGATAGATAATGTGTACCTTTTAAAGTATGGATCACTTAGCTCAACATTAAATCTTTTATTAAGCTATCAGAAAAGTCATGGCATACTTGTTCTTTTGTTTCTCTATGCAAAAATGTATCATGACTTGTCAAAAAACTGAATACATCAATCCATTTTGTGCCAAACAACAGGATCTCATTGTTTCTCATAGTTTTGTAGTATTCTATAGTATGTATGTATGTATATACACATACATATGAAACCAATCATCAGTTTTTGGACACTTAGGCTGGTTTCATGTTTTAGCATTTATAAATAATTCTGCAATATACATGGATGTGCAGATGTCTTTCTGATTGAGTGTTTTCTTATCCTTTGTATAGATACCACAAATTAGGATTGCTGAGTCAAATGGAAGTTCTATTTGTAGGTTTCAGAGAAACATCCATATTGCTTTTCACTAAAGTTGTACTAATTTATATTCCCATCAGCAGTGTAAGAGAGTTTGCCTTTCATCACAGTCTCACCAACACTTGTCATTATTTTTTGATCGTAGTCATTCTAACGGGTTAAATGATATATCACTGTAGTTTTTTTTTTTTTTTTCATTTCCCTATGACAAGATAATGTAAGTCTCATGGCCATCCGTAAGTCTTCCTTGGAGAGTTGTCTGTCCAATTCATTGGCCCATTTTTTAAATTGGATTATTTCTTTTCTTATGAGTGAGCTTCTTGAATTCCCTATATATTATATCAATGTATTGACTGAGGGGTAGTTTACAAAAATGAAACTGGACCTCTATATCTCACCATTAACTAAAATTAACTCAAAATGGACCAAAGAAAAATATAAAGCCTCTAACCACAAAATTAATGGTAGAAAACATATGGGAAAAAATTTTAAGATATTGGGATAGGCAAAGATTTCTTAAATAAGACCCCTAAAGTTCAAGCAATGGTCCCTAAATAAGACCCCCTAAAGCAAAGGCAATGGTCCCTAAAATAGACAAGTGGGATTACACCAAACCGAAAAGCTTTCTCACAGCAAAAGAAACTACAACTAAAGTAAAACGACAACCCTTGGAATGGGAGAAAAGAGTTGTCAGATATTTTAAATTTCACTTGGCTAATTTATCATAAAATCGCTTTCTAAGAATCAGAGGTATTGAGATCGTACAATTTTCAATACCAAAAGGCATGAGAGATCATTTTGAAAATTTATAGTTAAAACAGATTGATATTCTTAGTTGCCCAAGTGTTCAGTAACATATTTCTACTAGATACTGGGACTTCTGCCTTCTGGTTGCATATTTTCTAGAAGATGCTTTCTTTTCTTTTTCTTGTAATCCAAACACTAAAATTCTCCTATTCTTCCATTCACTAAATATACAGGGGAGAAAAAGAACAGAAAATACATAAGTCCATAAATACTGAACTTGGAAGTGATGCCTCATTAAATAGATCATATGTTTTCAAGATTTTGTTCTTTCATTCCTTTTTCATTATTTCCATATTTATTTCCTATTTTTATCTGCTTCTTGTTATAATTTTTTCTGTTCCTTTCTTGGATCATCCCCATTAGTTGCTTCCCTGCCCTATATATAATATGACACAACTTTCTAAAGATTTATTGAGGTTTATGTGCATCTCTGAAATTGAAAATATTTGAATGGAAATTAACAGATGTCTTAAGTCTGTGAAATAGGGTAGATTGATTTTGAAATCGTTATTGGTTCCTTCTAACAGAGAAATATCAAGGATGTGGGCAACTGGAGCCCCCACAACAGCTGCTTGATATGTTATATATTCACTTTCAGGTTAATTATTTCATTTCACATAATATTGGAAATTAAGTAATAGAGTTGTTATGAAGATCAAATGAGACTATGTAAAATACTTGCTTTTGAAAAATGATAACATGTATGTTTTATATTTTTAAAGTTTTCACAATAACCTTTTCAGTCTTCTGAATATAATAGTGTTCAATAGGCAAATGAAAAAATTACATGCTATTTGTTTTTCTCTGATATATATGTGTAAGAATTTGAAAAATTGGTATATACATAGGAATTTAAAAATTTTAAATATTCACTTATACATACATTTTATTATTGTGAAATTGTGTTTCACTGTGTTACACTGGAGGAATACAGCATTTAAAAATATAAATACATTTTGAAGTAAAAATCCTCCTTTCTACCAAAGGAGGTTAAAAACATCCACTGATTAAGGCAAAACTTAGTCCTGATCTTGGCAGAAAATAAGCATATCAAACAGGAATTGTTAGTGTAGTATAGAGAAAACAGAGAATGAAAATAAATTTCTGGGTGGATAGATATATTTTAACATATAATTTAAAAAATATCATAGACACCTATTAAATGGGCAAGAATATCTGTTGAATGAAATAATGAAGAAATGAGAGGATGAAGTAACAACTTGTGACTATTTTTAAAGACTATGGAATAAAACTGACTTTTTTCAAAATTAATTGAGTAGAATGATAGGACATACTGTAGGAAACCACATACACACACACACACACACACACACACACACACACACACAATTTAGTGCAGTAAGAATAATGCTTAAGGAAGTAAAGCAGAAATTGACATCAGTTTTTGTTTGTTTGTTTTATGATGGAGAGCATATGCAGACAAGAGATAGGGAGATAGAAAGAGAGAGACAGAATCTGTGAAAGAGAGAGACAGAATCTTGCCATGCCATGATCTCCCCTTTCTCTGGCTTTCCAGATCCTTGGGATTCTGGGCATCCACATACATGGTGTGTTTTCAAGTGCACCTGGATATCTGTACCCTCAGTCAACATTTGGCTTCTAGCCTTGCAGGGCACTACTGGCCTTGTTGGACCACAGGGGCTGGCCCTAGTATCAGTTCTGTTATTATTGTTCATAATTGTACAATTTTTCCCCTAATTTATCTTATGTTTGAAACTTACAGTTTTCATTCAAGAGAACTTAGTCAAACTCTCCTTTTTTTTTTAATCATCCTAAGTTAAAGATACTTTGCAGGTATTGAAAATTTCTCATTTTCTTCCATGATTGCAAATATTTAATGATCCATAATTTGTGTTCATTACTATTTTGAAAGCCATGTGAGTCCTGGAAATAAGTGACAAAGCCAGTGGTAGTAACACAACGGTTTTTACCCTGATTCTAGAAGTAGTCACACAATTGGAGACTTGCCAAGGT